CTGTAATGAAAATAAAATAGAAATTCCAAAGTGAGATTTCATAACAATATTTAGTAGTGCTTTCTGGACGTTTAACAAATAAACGATAGTCACTATTACGCCCTGCTTGATAACATATGCTCAAGTTACGATTAAAGTGTTTACTATTACTGGCATACTGCAATTATTTGTTTAATTATCTTCCTGAACACGGAGCAAGTGCAACTTGAAGAAATTCGAGGCGAGCCAGTTATAATAACGACTACTATTATTATTGTGTAAAAGGTAATTCACAAGGTTATCATAGATGCATATTTATAGGTCTGACCTCCAACTGTAAAGCGATGCGATGTCCTGTTGTCTGGTTCGGTTAATAATATATAATAATTGCCACGACATTATGTCTACGAAAGTTTGTTTCTTTATCGAACGAAAACGGCTTCTAACGGTTTCGAAAATAAATTGATGATAACTTGAAACTATAAATTTTTAACAAAAAAAAAACCCGACTTGAATCAGGAAACTGAAAACATTGTTAATACCTATAACATTTGAGGATGGCCCTCGATTTCTCATCATCTTCTTCATCATCAGATCCGGGTTTTCTTTTCATGGTACCACCCTTGGGATATCTCCTTTCCAACAATCAACCATCAAAATCGGTTCATAAACGACGAAGTTAGCCGCGAACACACATAAAACATATATTCGGTCGAATTGAGTAACCTTCGTTTTTGAAGTCGGTTATTAAATTATGCATTGGATGAACTGATCGTTTTTATTCACATTTTTATTCATAAAAAACACAACCGGCTTCATATATCTCTCACATTATATATTTCATGATTTAGAGTTATTTAATGTAATCCCGAAGTCCAATATCAGGGAAATTATTATGCCATGCGGGACTTAAATAGAATAGCAAAGAATAGAAAAAAATGCAAAAATAATTTTAAAGTCAGTTCATCAATCAAGAGATCTGCGGTGATGAACCGAATTGAGAACCCCATCCCCTTTTGATGTCGATTGAAAAATAATCTTTCTAAAGCCAAAGTGGGAAGTGGCATAAGCTTCTATTGATTACTATATATGCGTATATTTAAGAATTAAGCTAATTGATTCAATTCTTCAGAGTAGTAAGAGACAGATGACTAATAAGTATTAAATGAAACTAGTTTGCGGATTTTATCGCATTCTAGTCTATCTAGTTTCATTTAATATGTATAATATTCGCGTAAAATCAAGAAGTCAATGTATGACTAATAAGTTTTATATGATGTAATTTTTTTTAAATAAAATTTTCAATTTAATTGCACTCATTGTATTTAAAAAAAAGTATATAATTTTGACCCAATTGAATCATCGGTCGTCCTAATAGGCAACGCGGCAGCTGATGGTAACAGCTCATATCGTAAATATAATCTTCATTGCTCAAGTGAATGATAAAATGTACGAATGGAAATTATGCGACTTTGCCTTATTTTCTCTGTAACCTAGTTCTAGACGCTAACTAAAATTTTGAAAACGCATGTCCGCAACTGGCGCTAATGAGTTTTCGTTATGAATATATTAATTTCGGTGAAAATAGGTCACAATGACTGACTGCCTTTTGAACTAAGCTTAGAGCGGAAATAGGTTTTGAACTATGTAAATGCGTCAGTACGATATGTATAATCATGATAGACTGTGTGATTTACTACATTTCATAGGAAACAAAGTCTTAACTAAATAAAACGATTTGTCGCCGTATATCGGGCATTTATTGTAATATTCGTAAGAGATCGTAAAGTAGGAAAATTTGCAAATCCCATATTTGTATTCGCAACTTTAATTAAGAGCTATCTTCCGAATTGTTATATCATCACTGATTTTGAATACACTAAGTTATTACATATATATAGATGTACATATCCTCAGGCATGCTTTTTTATGAGAAGGTAAATACAATTATTCGTAGTTATTGTACTTATTGTACTACGAAAACTTTTTAAAGTTTATATTCACTTAAAAATTGAATTTTCTACGTAATTTGCATGTTCTGGAGTGTTTTTAAAATTTGGCATCGGTTCTGATTCCGCCTCGTTTGCTTGTCCAACAATAACGAGTGGAGTACTTGTCCCCCTTTTTAAAATACATGCCATTTCCCGAGATGGCAGTCTTGCGAAATATTTCTTCTGTCGTAACCGATATAAGGAAAATCTACACTAAAACATGTAGACAGATAGAGTTATGTTTAAAACAAAAATTGACAGCGTAGCCGAAACAAACAGCTTCCGGACGTTGACGTTGGTACAGTTTCTATGCGTATAGGTTCCAAGTCATTACCGCGACCTGTGTGGGAAACTGTACTGTAGACTATGGAGGCGGGTCGTTGACACTGAGTGCATCGGTGAACGCAGCGTCATACAGATGCAACGATGCGTTGCACAATGCTTGAACTGTGGTAACATCATAATGGGGGAACAAAAAAAATCGTTTAGAACACGAATGACGGCCCTAGCAAACCGCGGTACGGTCAATTATGTTCTTTTTACCGTTATTTTAAATGGTAGAATTTACGATGTTGTTTGATCTTTGAGTTTTAATATGTCTACTAAGGTAACCGCTTTATTTAATTATATTGACGTTAAGTGATTGGCCCGCGATCGGTTTTATGATATCATTAAGTCTTGTATTAACTGATGTTTTTGCTTTCAGTCCCGAGACTATTTAAGCTTCATCTGACGCAAGCTTCATCTGACGCAATTATTAAGTCTAACTTTAGTTGTCGTAAGGAATTTGAAAGCTCGGGTCCTAGATATATCTATCACTAGTACCCACGTGGTACCCACTATATATAGCTATCACTAGTACCCACGTGGTGGTAAGGCCACGCATTAAGGCTTCACTGTTACACCAATGGGCAGGTCCGTCCGGGGAAATATCACTACTTCAGAGAAGACCAGCGTGAAGTGGAATTGTTACACTTCTGCGTTTGGTCTGTTGAGTGAGGTAACCGTGGCCTACTTTATTCAAAAGTCACAACGCATCTGGCAGCAGTTATCATTAAACATCAGGTAAAGCGCAAGACACATAACACTAATTGAAATTTTTCACATAAATATCTGTCATTCTTATTTCGTATTGTTTCATTTTAGTGCACGCGTAGAAAGAACATCAGTATAAATTCCCATATTCCCGTATTTTCTCAAGATGACATATAGAAATTAAATTAAATAAATATGAAAATTTGTAGAAAAAGTTCGAAAAAAAAAACTACTTTTTATACAAATTTTAAGTGCAGAGTTCAACACTATAAAAATTTAAATTTCTATTAAATAACTATTTTAAAATTTCAACTTCAGTAAATCATTCATTGTACAGCGGTCTGCTTGCGATGCGAGGCATTACGATTCTTGAGTTATTTATGAATGAATGCGAACATGTACGTAAGATCCCACTCCTCCGTTGGTTTTAATACCTAACAATTTGCAAGTCTTACTTAAGAAGCTTTCATATATTTGCTCCAATAGCCATGTCAGGTATACCAATCTTTGGTTTGTTCTCGTGTCCGCTAATATCCGTTGAGAATTCGTTTTGTATGTAATGTTAAATCTATATCGTTGATTTCATGGTGTCTTTTAAAATGTTTAAAACGACGTGTTAATTTGTTAAAGAATTTGTCTACAGTTTAAATGCTATTATTACGAATTCGGTATCTGTATTTCTTTCTTCATCAAGTCGATTAACACCGATTTAAATGAGAATTGAAGTGGAGGTGCAGAGTTAAGTTATAAATGTCATAAAAATAAGCTTGTTTTCATTATTATATTGGTCACTCGGTTCAAGCCTTGGATCAAGGCTAGAATTAATTTGATAATCATCAGGATTATGGATGGTTAGGCGACCCAATACAGCAATTCATATTATTTTACTCACGTTTCTATAACACAGAAATAACTGGCAAAAATAACTCTTAGCAATCGTGATTGCTTTTTAAATTGTCCCTTCAACTCGAACTGTACATGCCCAGTCATTAATAAAGTCAAATCAACTAAATATCTTGGAGTAATGTTAGATCAACGACTTAATTGGCATAATCACATTGAGTTAGTATCTTGTAGGTTGCGAAAACTGATTTGGGTTTTTAAGGAGCTGAGGCATATCGCTGACCAATCACTATTAAATGAAATCTATGTGGCATTAGCACAGTCAATTACCATTTACTCTATTACCTTATAGGGAGGTGCACTAAAGACCAAATTTCTAGAAGTTGAGCGTGCTCAAAGATCGTTATTAAAAGTAATGTATTTAAAAAAAAAGGAGATTCCCAACTCAGAGTCTATATTTGAATGCAGACTTACTTACAGTTAGAAAGCTTTACATACTATACCTTGTTTTAAAAAAACATAAGTCTATTACATACAACTCTGATATTGTAGCTAAAAGAACTAAAGGTAAAGTAGCCCAGATAAATTATGTTCACACACGGTTTGCTAAACACCAATTCTCCTACTTGTCTTCCCAAATTTACAACAAAATAAATAAAACATTACAGATATACCCAATAACATCAAGGGAATGTAAAAAAGAACTTACCGTATGGCTGAAGTCTCTGGACTATAACGAGACTGAAGAAATCCTAAAATCATGTCCTTAAACAATTCTATGTTTTAGTTATTTTGTGTACGCTACCCTTTCTATCTCTCTTTCTCTCACACACACACGCACACACACACACGCACACAAACACGCGCGCGCGCGCACACACACACACACTGCCTTTTTTGTTTTGTTTTAATATGTTGTATAAATTAAATAAGGTGTTTGTTTAGTTATAACATTTTTGTTAAGGAAGAGTGGCTCCCTCTGGCACAGGTGCTTCTGTACCTAATAGAGGAAGTCGACACTTAAATTGTAGAAAAAAAAAAACTGAAGCGAATAAACATCTATTTTTTTTTTTTTTTTTAAATATTGACTTTGTTTTCCCGGTATTTTCAGAGAGATGTCTCGGTGGAAGGGCAAGCTGAGGTAGCTGGCAGATGGCAGCAGTAAGCGCGGCGATGTTTCGGCCCGGGGGCGCGCTCGATCCCCCGTGCTACGCCACGCAGAGGGTGAGTTTCGATAGATGGCGTTGACTATGTATTAACCCCATACTAGTTTAATCGTATTTCATTTATACCTTACTCCGGATATCGTTTTCAAATCAGAGTTCCCGTCTAATATCAGTGCAGAGTATCAATCAATTTACAAATCTGCAGTCATGTGAAAATTATATTTTACATGACGATCCAAAGAAAACAGAGATAAGTGTTCACTCTCGATGAAAATATAATAAGCCACTATATTTTCATTCAGTATATTTGATGCAGGAAGATGAGTAAGATGTTTAGAAAAGATGTTGTTTTAGGAAAATGAAAATCTATAACGTAAGCCTATTTTCTGACCGATGAGCGATAAACATTACGTGTAAATACATTTAATGGAAATGCAAACATTAATTGTAGTACCAGTACGATTAATTTGATTATGATAATCGTGTTCTATTTAGAAAGAAACTAACGTGACGTTGAAATTAATGAGTATTGCATTTAAAAAGTTACGAAACGTTCCAATCTTGTTTACGTATGTAAAACAGCGATTAAATTACCCGACGCCTGTAAACGACGATTGTAAACAAGTGCTAACGTGGCTTTTACCGTTATGTATATAGAATGTGACTTAGTTTATACGTAAACACTGCTGTCGACCCGCTTATCCGTGGTCATAGAATTATTTAAAAGTAAGTTAACATAAATCGATACCAATGGACATAAACATTTATTGGAGAATAATAAATATAGTAGAATTTTATTAATTTATTATAAAATTTATAAAATTTTATATCTTTATAAATTAGATATAGGTAGAGGCACTTTAAACTATTATGATTTGCGGTAATCATTGCGGTATCCTATCATATGAGAGTGTAAACATATGAGAAGAATTTCTTATGTATTCGAGTATAGTTGATGAATATTTTCACATTCTTGCATCTCATATTTATTGTTGTCTCTATGCACTTGCGCATGTTTACTTTCTCATGGTCATTTACCAATCTCTGTAAAATTTCGATGTTATTTAATTACGGCAACAATGGTGCTTTCATCACTACACTTGCGCAGTGGCGTGGTTTTCACGCGATTCTATTTGTAGCAACGTTTGACATTAGCTAACTGTTAACTTGAATCGTTTCGTTGATTTTGCGGTATTGTGTATATAATTACAGACTGTGATCTACAGCTTAGCTCTTAGTACTTACTTATATTTAGTTATGTAACTTGTAGGCTGTTTAGTCTTTGTCACTTTCGAGCAAATAATATTTCGTGGAACATTCAATGCTTTAAGTACGTTAACCATCAAGGGCTTCGTTTGTGCCTTAACAATTACTGCAGCATTTCAGTTTTGGAATAAAGGTTTCCCATTAACTATTTAACTTTCCCTAAAACCTTTAATTTATAAAAAGACAAATAGTTTAAAACAATTTGTTATGAGGAGTTTAGTAAGAGGATAATATTGAATAAAGTGCTAAGGTTTTCCACTCTTACTGTAAATAATAAAATAATGAAATCTTTCCGGAGACAAAGGTCTGAGAGACAAGGTTTTGCTTCAAGTTCTTTTTTTCGCAGATTCTAGTTAATGTGGAAAGTAGCTCAGCTTATTATATGACACAGTTTTTATTTTAATTTGAGCAAAATTTTTCTATAAAACTGTCTTTTATCACTCAGGTAGAGAGTAGTAATTAAACTCAATTTTCACTACGCGCTAAAAGGCGACCGGCATTAAGTCGTTTATCATATTTTAGACTGTGCCACGGTCATCATGGTTATGGCACGTAAGAATTCTGAAAACGATGAAATCATCAATGGCCATAAAACAAGATATAATTTCAACCTAAAGATTGTAAGATTCTACCCCTAATTTCTCGCTTAAGAAGTTTCTTAGTAATATCAAAGAGCGCTTTTGTCTGAAGTTTGATTTTCGTGATTATTTTTTTAATAAAATTTCCATAACATTCAACCGAGACTAAATACGAGCTAAGCTTAATTGAAAGTTGTTTTTACCTTGAGTTCTTATATTGTGTTTACGTTTTGTATAAGGATGCCGGAATAAAAGATGAACACGAAAATAATTTCGCTTATGAAAGCCTATAATAATAAAATGAAAGTAATGAGATGTAACAAAGTATGATAATATATTTCTTTTGACTGAACAAGTAGCGGTTTCCACAAAGAATAAGTCGAATAAGGAATAAGATTACGTTTATCTGCTTTGGTATTACTTTGTTAAGTTGATGTTTCATAAAATTCGTGAGGTATTATCATATTTGATATTGATATTATATCTTCGTTGTGTATGGAATTATGAGTTTCGTTTTCTTTACCGTTTCATTGATAGAAATGACAATCAACCACAGTTGTTGCAGACTGTACAAACATTTGAATATTAAACAATTTGCTAGAGTCAGCTTTTCCATTCGAGTAGAAGGCGAATGTCTCCAGTCCGAGAAACCACAATCGCTCCCTTTTTACCACTGAGAATCGGCCAAACTGAAACAGACGTCATAGTTACAAATCTCTGTGTCTCCATCGACAACTGGAGTCGAAAATTAGTGTATCAATTAATGACTTAACACATAAATAAATGCTCTCGTTATCTTTGAAACGAATTTCAATCACTCCCCACTGGCAAAATTTTAATGGGGTCTTAAATTATCCGATTATTCATGAGTTCTACTTCTCGCGTTTAAGTCGTAACTTAAGTTCTCGCCTTAAACTTTCAACTGGTACCATTACAGTAATATAAAGGTATTAAACCTCTTTAAAACTTAGCACATATATTTTGAAGTAGGTAATATTTCATAACACTTACTATAACATCTAATCGTTGTCACACATTAGAACATCCCACTATCGATCTCAATGTTGGATTTGTTTTTTTTTTTGTTATGTGAGAAAGTAAGGCAAGCGGGCACACTTGAAGCACCGCATAATGCGTTGCAGTGCGGAATCCGGGGCCCATTATATTAATATTTGCAGCCGGCTACCACTAAGATAGCCAGGTGAGTGTCACCAGAAGAAGAATACTTCCACTTCAAGCCGGTCTTCTGTGAGGTCGTGGTACTTACCCGTCGGACCCTCATATTTGTGCAGCAGCAAAGATTGTTGCATGGCCTTACCACAATAATTTTTCCCCCGTAGCTTGGTAAAGCAGAACTCAGTGTATTTGACGACCCGAATGCCATAGTGTACCTGCCTCCGGCGTCAGAGGGTGTGGGTTCGATCCCCACTACTGGAAAAATATTGTGTGAGTAGGCCAAACAGCTTTAATCGACGTTTTTAATGCTTTTCCATGTAAATTCGTATTTCATCATATATCAAATGTGGTTCTTTTTAAATTATTAAAACAACACTTATTTGTAACTTGCCAGTATGTACGAGTGATTTCTTAAAAGCAAAGTTGTAGAAAACTGACATTCGTTGAATTTATCATGATTTGCACTGAGCCGCAAAATGACAAAAGTAAAGTAAAGTAACAGCCTATACATATCCCACTGCTGGGCAAAGGCCTCCTCAGAGGGTATCAGGGCATAGTCCACCACGCGGCCCCACTGCGGATTGGCGGACTTCACATATTTTCGAAATACATTTTTTTTGTTATTATGTCGAAAATATGCAGGTTTCCTCACGATGTTTTCCTTCACCGCAGAGCACGTGATAAGTCAGCACTTAAAGTTAAAAACTTCATTGGTGCCGGCACCGGGGATCGAACTGAGGTTGCTCGAGTATATTGAATTAAAGGCGAGCGCCCGGACACTGAGCTATCACGGCTCAAACTACAAAATGACAAATCACATAGAAGTAGAAAACTTGTCGTTTAAAAAAAATGGGGTGTTTTACTTGTACTGTACCAGAGGTAGGAATGATATGAGTGGCTATTATCACTAAACCATTATGTAAACCGCCATCTCGCTTGCCATCTTACATAAAAAATAGTTAATGGTCCCAACTTCTCTCAGAACATCAAGTTGTCTGATTACGGTTTGGTTAAGAGCAAGTTGGCAATGTTGTATATCTGTCATAAAGATTGATCCAGGGTTATGTTTTCCGAGGACTCCAGATTTTGATTATTTACACATGATAGGAGAGGAACAGTATAAAAAGAACCAGGAAAACGGGATCAGCGAGCTGGTTTTGATCAAAACGGGTCATTCGATGGAGGAGCAATAATTGTGTACTGATTAATACTGATAACTGATAATAATTGTGGCTGGAATAACTTCAGAGAGTCGTAAGAAGTTAGTGATGATAGAAAACAACTGTCAGACGGCTCTTAGATACGTAAAGAAAGCTTTAAATGAGAATGCTGGTATTTCTTAGTAAATATTGGCGCAAATTCCATTTACATACATGAATATGCGCGGTCCCATAGTGCTTATTTGGTCAATGCGTACAAGGTGTCGGTAAGACATTCATGGAATGGCCAGCTCACAGTCAAATCTTAAATCCAATAGAAAATATATGGGAAGAACTCGAGAGATGTTCTAGACAACGATTTACATCTCCAGCTACCATATACGAGTAAAGAATGTGTTAGCGGAAGATTGGTCAAACAAACCAAAATCGTATTAAAACTTGGTTTAGAACATGCCACTTTGCAGTTACAATGTTATACAGGTTCGTGAAGGCAATGGAAATAAATTAAAAACTAAATTATAAACTGATGATCCGACTTACTTATTTCTTATAATCTGCGGCATCATTTGTTGTCATAAGTTAGGAGACTTTTTTAAGTTTTTGTATTTTTTTATTAAAATCAAATAATGTTTAACGTTTATGTATTTTTTTTTGTTGACCTGTCGTTTTTACGCTATTATCCCACCAGATATATCTACAAGTTTAAAAGGTATCAAAATTCAGCTCATTTAAGTCATTAAAATTGGTACAACAATACGGCTATTAAATTTATATACTATAATACAAAATAGTGAGCTTATAAACGGAAATATCTGTGCCAATCAATCGCTGAGTAATTTGATTATGAGAATGTTCGTAAATAATGAAATTTAATCAAA